ATATTTTTGTTCTCGTATTAATAATAATAATACTGGAAAAATATGAAAATCCTTAATTCAAGAAAAGAAAAGCCATAATTAATATGGCTTTAATTTTTTTTCTACTTGCTTGTTGTTTTGCTTTGTTGCATTTGATTCATTGCTGTCACTATTATTCTAAGAATTATTATTGCTGTGTGTGGTATGTGTGTTGATCCATGTATGAAACAAAAAAAAAAAAAAAAAAAATACAAGCAACAACCGAATTTTGAAGAGAAAAAAATTACGCTAAATTAAACATGTCGATGGTCATTTTTATTCAATTTTTTTTCATTCATAAATGATGATGATGATGATACGGCTATGGATGTCTTTCAAACATAGACATCTGCGTTTTTATATTCGTATTCGTGTATGTGTGTGTGTGTGTGTGTGTAGGCGAATATATATTAAATTATTACAAATAATAATGTCAAACAAATTGGCAATGTCAAAGTTGTTTTTCTATTTGAATAAAGAATGTTTTTTTTCCAGTGTTTCACCACGACCTCCATGATCTGTAAACAAAACAAAAAAAAAATGAAAGTTGCCAATTTTAACAAAAATTCTCAACCGTTCATACGAATAAATGATCATCATCATCAGTAGGAAGTACATTGTAAGTATTGTTTCAAGAAAGCAAATGAAAAAAAAAATTCCATCTGGCCAAGATTTTCCATCCTACACTACTTTTTTTTCACTCACTGATTCTCATTCTCATATTTATGATTTTTTTTCATTTACATTCTCAACAAATCAATGGAAATAATTTAGATTAAAAAAAAAAAATTAACCAAATAGAAATAAAAATCATCATGGATCACAGGACAAACTTTGTCGATGCACAAAAAAAAAAAACATAGAAACAAACACATAATAAACAACATTTAAAAGCCTTTTTGTTGTTGTTGTTGTTGTTGTAATAACCAATATATAACGGCCACATTATGATTATTGTCACATTACAAAACGCGAAAGCGGAACGAACTAAAAAAAAAAAAAAAAATCCAACCAAAGAATGAATTGCCAAGTTTTTTTTTGTTGCATTCTAACACAAATAATAAACATATAATATCATATGGATCGTAATAACAAACTTTTTTCTTTCTTTTATAGAAATAAAAAAAAATTGGAGCCAAAACCGAATCAACAACAAACTCAAACGCGGATTGATACCATGTTTATACACACACACACACACAACAATGTTATTATTTACCAAAAGTTATAGCCAAAAAAAAAAAAAACTTTCTAAGTGGTTATTATTATTATGGTTGTTGTTGATGTTGTTCCGACCAATAATGTATTAGGATTTCCCGTTACAACAACAAACGACTACCAATACCATATAAAATAACGATGACGATCATTGTATAGTATGTGTATATATACATACAATGTAACATCCATCAAAATTGAACAACAACAACAACAACAAGAAATGTCTAATAAAGTCGAACCAAATAACAGACAAAAAAAATGGCAACCGAATCATTTATAGATATTTACAACACACACACACACACACACACAAAATTTTTACTTGTTTTCCATGGTTGAATGGACATTATGTTTTATATTATTTTTTTTCAATTTGAAATGACGAATTGTTATTTTTTGGCCAATCGGTTTTTTTTTGTTTCTTTTCTTCGTATGGTTTTGTATATCTTTTGATTTGATCGATTGATCGATATCGGTTGGATTGTAGCCAACAAGAAAACAGCAGCAGCAACAACAACAACAGCTAAAATATGCACCAAAATTTTTGGAACATAAATACGTAAAGATCGAGTTACGAAGAAATTATGCTAAAATGAAACGCACAAATATACACACAATTACTTAATTGTATCAATGATATGGGCAAAAATACAAACATGCTTACACACATTTTACTCAAAAACACACACCTACGAATTTACAATGATCAACATGAAAAAAAAGAACGAATAAAGTTGTACAATATGGTAGTAAAAATACTATACGCATTTGGAATAGAAAAAAGCAGGTAAATCTTTCATTATGAATGAAAAAAAAATGAAGATCTATATATACACGTGTGTATATCTATAGAAAGAGAGAGAAACAACAATTGTAATCCATTTTTACCTAGTAATCATCATAATCAAACGGTATATATGATAATGTAGCGATAATAATGATAATAAACAGATAAAAAAAAGTCAGAGTCAAACACACACACACACACTGTATTGATTGGCGCGTGTAATTTTATGTTAATTAAATTAACAATACCATATCTTGTGAGTTTTTCTTTCGAAAATATATTTGCGTTCGAATATATATTCGAATCGTTTATATTTCCTTTTCATTATTGTTTTTGTTTCAAATCAAATCAAAACAAACAAACAAACAAAAATTGAGATTTTTTTTTAAGATGAGGATTGTAATTTGAAATACAATTGTATTTTCTTATTATTATCGTTTTTTGTTGTTGTTGTTGTTGTTGTTGTTGTTGCACCAATATAATTATTACTTTTACCATATAATCTATTGAAAACAACGATAATAATAAGTAAAACCATTCATTTTCGATTAAGAAAATGAAAATGCACCAAAAAGAAATAATGAAAAAAATAACTAATCAAATGAAATTAAATTGTAAAAACGAATAAAAACATTAGGTAGTAATTTATGAATCGAAACATTGATAGACCGATAGAAAAAAAACAGGATCAAAGGATATTTGATAAAATAATAATTTTTTTTTGTTTTGAAATTGCCATTGTTGATTAGTAGTTTGACATTGATGTTGTTCCTGGTTTCTTTCAATCGATATGATACACAAACACAAATTAACAAAAAAACAACGAGGACAAAAAATTAAAAAATTATTCAAAAATCTATGCATTTTCATAAACAATTTAATCGAATTTGATTTAGGAATTTTAAAAATTCGAATTTTGTCATTACAAACATGTTATAAATACATTTTAACAGATATATTGTAACGGTGTTGAAACAAAAAAAAAATATCCAAAAACGGCAATGTCATCATTATCGGTGGAGGTACAAGAAATATTATGTCTAATTCAAGGTAATGATGGTGAATATTTGGCCTTTACAAAAACGCCATCACAAAAATTTTCATCAGAGTCTTATCAATACTTGGAATTGATTGAAAAATGTTTACAACTGCCCACCAATAATCATCATCATCATACATCATTGTCATTACATTCTCGACGACTATTGGAACGAAATGAAATTTTTTTATTGAAACGTTTAGCCATTGTTGGCTGCCTATATCGATGGTTACAACGGAAATGTGATCAATTATTAAACACCACCAATAGGAGTGGCCACGAAGACGACGATAATTATGATGTAGAAAATAAAATTCAAAGGACAAATCATTCAAATATTAAAAAATTGATAATGCAACAATTTATAATCGGTGTACGACAGGAACTAGTAGATTTTTATCGTTTCGTAACCGAAGAACTATATGGTAGTTATGGATGCAAATCGGCCGTTGTTTTTGATGGACGAATAGAAGGCAACAATAGTGACAATAATTTAACTCTGTTGAAATTGAATGTCCTTCTTGATCGAATTCGAAGAAAATTTCTTTGCTTACATCATTATTTATTACGCATAATTGAAATGACGACCATCAATTTTGTCGGTGATGAAAGAGTTAAACCAAATGATTATTATCTCCATGAATTATTCAATTTTACTTTCAATAATACTACTGCTGATCCATTATTGGCAAAGACTATGGAAAAATTATCGGCGATGACAATACAGCCAATTTGGATTTCGTTGAAACGATGGCTTGTACAACAAAATGTTCACAATGATATTTTTCTTATGAATCCTTTATTTTTTAACCAGTCTACGAATTCATTAATTTGGAAAAATTGGCCACGTTTTTTGAATCCTGATTTGTTGAAGTTAATTTCTCGATTCGGTTCGTTAATGGCTATATTCAAACAGGTGATCGTCGATCAACAGCAGTTACAAACAGCACAAATGAATTTGATTTCTATATTTGATCAATTTAAATTAGAAAAAATGAATTGGAAAAATCAACACATAAAAATGAAATTACTCACATCAGAATTGCAATGTGCATATGTTGAATTGAATCAAGAAATCGTAACAGTTTTGAATTCTGGAAAAACTTTCGAGGAAACATTTTTCAAAATTAAATCATTTTACATGGAAATATTTTGGTTAAATAATGACACATCTACGCTGCAACAGATGCCCGCCACCCCAAAACTTTCTGCATTCAAGCCTTCGCTTCCTATTTCATTAGATGATCAAATTATTGTGCTACTCGGAAAAGAAAACCAAAGGATATATCAGGAGATTTTCCACAAATTTTCAATATTGAGATCAGCATCCAAACCTTGGTTCAATTACTGGAAACAAGTGATTATTTTTGGTAAATCCATGGCAAATAAGTGGGAATTTAACATTAAACTCATTGTGAATCGACAAAGTTACATAATTTATCAGATCATACAAGTTTTGATAGATCAACAAAAGCAGATATCCAATTTCATATCAAATGAATGGTCAGATTTTGAAAGACATTTTTCAGGTGGAAAAAAGCACATCGATGTAATTGAATTTCAAAAATCACATATGAAAATGCTCAAACGAATTAACATCAGGTTAGAATCGCAGCTACAAGATGACAATTATCTCAAGATCACAGGACAAGTGGAAAATTTCCGTCATAAACTTGAAGAATTTGAAAATATTACAAAAAAAACCTATAGAATAGAACAGGGAAAATGGCATGAAGAAAAATTACAAATTAGACAGGAATATAATGATTATTTAAGGGAAAACGTACTGAAATTTTTCGATCTAACCAAACAATTGAAATGAAATACTTTAAATAGAAATTTTCAGAATTTAAATTCCAGAATTGCTGACTCAAATTATAATTTATTTAAAAGGATTGGAAAATATCGTTCATATAGGTCGTATCGCTGAGTACAATGTTATGAAAACAATTGACTCGAGCTGCAATTTCATTGTAAACACTCGATATATACCCACGACTTGAAACGGTTATAAAACGACGACCTAGCCAAGCAAGTTGGCGCCTTTTTGCTGTAGCTGCTTCTCTGGTACTTTTAACACAGTAACCATTTAGTTCTGGACCCTAGGTCCTGGATTTTTTATTTTGATTATGAAAACTCGATCAAAAGCAAAAGCTACTTCAACGTCGACGATGGCCAGCAGCAATAGCTCAACATCATCTCAATTGCCCGATGAAGAAAATCTTCGACGATTGCGATCTTATCGTATGATAAACATGAAAACATCGCCCACATCAGAGTCTAATCGCAGAAGAAATTCATCACGTCTTCGATCCTCGAACCATCAATCCACTGATTCCCATTTAAATGAAAATCAATATTCAACAACAAATTGTCATTCAACAACACGAACTAGAGATTTGACTAATTCTCCACGCAGATCATCGACATCACCAAGGTCATCACCAGTAAAGCCAAAATCAAAAACATCACCGACTAAACCTAAAGTCCCATCTGGTTTGATTGATCAATAAGGATTTCTCTATAGATTGATTTTAATTATTTTTTCTTTCTATCCTAGATGTTTGTAATTTTTGTTTCACCAACAATAAAGATGACCATATGTTGGGTGAACTTGGACATTTGAATGATATCACAGCTCATCTTTTCTGTTTATATTTTTCACCCGGTCTAAGTCAAAATGGCCAACATAATGAAGGTCTTTGGGGTTTTCTAGTTGACGATATTCGTAAAGAACTTAGACGAGGTGTATTACTCAAGTGTTCATATTGTGGTAAAAAAGGAGCAGTAGTTGGTTGCTCGGTACCAGAATGTTTAATAACATTTCATTTACCATGTGGAATACAGAATGGAGCTTTTTGTCATTATCATCAGGAACAGCAGCTATATCCATCATATTGTCGAAAACATTGGCCTAAACTGAAGGTACCGGCATTTAAACGTCGAGTATTATGTACCGTGTGTCAAGAATATGTCAAAAATTGTGATAATCGCGATAATAATTTGCTTTATGTTGAATGTTGTAATTCTTATTATCATCGTGAATGTTTGTCTAAAGTCGCTTATCATCAGGGTGAATTCAATTTAAAATGTCCAAATTGTAATGATCTGAACAAATTTGTACCAACATTGAAACGTGGTGGAATATTCGTGCCGAATAGAGAATCAACATGGGAATTATCTGGCGAAATGTCCTATGATGATGTACGATTTCAATGCGATGCTGAAGAATGTAAATGTGAACGTGGCCGAGATTATAATGGTGATGATGAATGGGAACTATTCTCCTGTGATCGTTGTGGTGCGAATGCCATACATGTTTCCTGTGCTGGATTCGATGCTGGCGAAAATCATGAATGGTTTTGTGAAGTATGCCGAAATATATGAAAGATAATTCGAAAAAAAATCATCGAAAATATTGCAAATCATTCAAATTTTGTTTTCATTTTTATCCATCTGTGTTAATTTGTCTTCACAGGAATTCAAAGCCATAAATTATTAGCGATTCCTTCTTGTTTTTCCATTTGTACAAAAAAAAAAAAAAAAAAATAATAATAATAATCTGTCGTCATCTTATTTTAAGTTCGTTAAACAATACTATACTTTCTCTCACAATTTTCTTTGTTTATTTGTTTTATTTAAAATCATAATAATAAAGTTGTAAAACAAAATCTGAATTGATTCTTATTTGAATTTAGATATATCATGATTAATTGGTTGAATTGGGCATAACGTAAGTAATTGGTGGTAATGTAAATTCTGTAGTTGTTGATGTTGTGCTTGTGGACGTGCTTGTTGATGATGTATCCGAATTCGTTCTAGTCGAAAATGGCATCCTTTGTGTACTGGTACTTCTCTCGCCGTATGGCATCGTCGTTGAAAACGGAGTTGTTGTCGTATATGTTTTATTGCAAGGATCAGGAATGGTGCTATTTAATGCCGATATTAATTGTCCAATAAGTTGTTGTTTCATTTGAGCCATTCGTTCAAAATATTGTAACGTTTGTATTTTAAATTTATTGAAACTATCGAATGGTGGATACGGTTGATTCAAATTAAAATTAGCTGCTCCCGACACTGTTTGATTAAGATAATTGAAAAAGGAATTCTTTTTTCTTTCAACATCAGAAAGAAAATCCAATGATCGACCTTGATGTTGTTTTATTTTGATTGCTGAATATCCATTTAATTGCCCATAAATTTCGGTCATCAAAACTACAAGATTCATTAATTCAGATAGAGAACATGTATGAATGCGATAAACTTACCGATGAGACCAATAAATGAACAAAGAAAAATTTTGATTAACATTTTCAAGGTTTTGATTATAATCAATTGAATGAAATTGAATTTTTTTTCGTTTAGAATTTGGAACTTTGAAATGATTTCGAATTTAAAATTTTGAGTCGTATTTATTGATGCCAATTTTTTTTTCATCATCTAATTCAGCTTTAGTGCCGTCGTTTGGATATAAGGGAATTTTTGTTTTATATCGGTTTCCAAGCAATGATCTTCAATGAAAATAACGACTTTATCCATTATCGTCGACCACAGCAAATTGTTTCATTAATACGAACGGAAATTTTTGCAACGTTGTCCAGTGAGAATGAAACGATTGCGAAAGCTAAACATTTGAATAAATTGGAAAAATTAATTGAACAATTTCGCATCAATCTTTGTGGAAATTTTTATCGCCAACCTTGGAAAGAACATCGAAATGATTTTCGACTTGAGCGTGAATTTATTTCGCAACATATGCTAGGATATTTCATATACAACATGGATCGATTTGAACGGAAAAAAATTGCCGAAAACTATGTCAAAATTTTTGTACACATTATCACAAAATATGCATATGGTACCAGGAGACCGTTTCTGGAGAAATTGGAGAATAAAAGTCCATTATTGTTAAAACGATTATTACATTTCCTGGCTACCGATCCGGATAATTCTATTTTTGCTGCTAAAATGTTATGCTGTTGTTGTCGACAATTAAAAACATTAGCATTGAAATTGATTGATTTTTATTCATCAGATTCTACAACAGCAACAACAATGTCAACATCTTCATTGATGCCCGTTTACATTCAATTATTAAAATCATTGATCAATAATAATGATTTTAATCATACCGTACAAATTGTCAAGGTACTCAATGAACTTTTATTGACTAATATCGAAGTTTCAATATATGCTTTCAATCGTGATTTGTATGTTTTGATTGAAGTTTTCAATGAAATATTTGCCAGTGACAAAGCCAATTATTTTGTTCGATTATCGATGCTAAAGTTGTTTGGACAATTGATACAGAATCGTCATTTACAGAAATTAATACAAACCTATACGATTAGTTTGAATAATTTTAAATTAATATATGGATTGATGAACAAAGCAGAAAAAGAAAATCGAAATGTAGAATTTACAAAACTTTTCGAAATCATTCGATTATTTATTATGAATCCAGTGAATACGGAAGAAAATACTACAATGAAACAGATGTTTATTGATGAATATAATTTGTTGATAAAATTCATAGGCAAAGCACAACGTATTCGATCATATACGGATATTGTTTTGTTTACACCAGAATATTCAGACGTAATGGATCGATTGAATAAGATCTGTAATCCGAATAGTGTAACTCGTGAAGAAACATTCGGTTCGGAACTAAGTATCAAAAGTTTAAGCTCATTGATTTAAATCAGTCAGCAATGTTTGATTTTTCTAAAAATAAAAATAATAACCAATTATCGTATCAAATGTTTAGATGGAAATTTTCATGAATCAATGATGATAAATGTTTTCTTTGTTCACAAACTGATCAATAAAGAAAATGTCAAAATCTTTAAAAGCTATGAATGTCTGAATAATTTTGAATCAATTTTTCCATTGGTCATCAGAGCAGAAACACAAAGCGTTTATTCTAAATCGAGGTCTGAAATATTTTTTTCAAACAAAACCAAATGAGATTACGATTTTTTTTTTTTATTTCAACAAAAAAAATCAATCAAACCATCTTTTGTCTAGGCTGAATGTCAAAATGGCCATGTTAATTATTATTAGCATCTGTGATTGCCAATCATATCGATTCATGAGAATCAATCTATTATATTAAAGGTGCCAATCGACTTGTATTACATCAGTATTAATCAACGTAAATCAGTCACTAATCAATTGATTGATCAATCAATCAATCTGACATCAATTCATTTGACCACTCTGTCAATTTATTGAATAAAAATGTGAATCTCATCAGCAACATGGTGATTTCAATATATAATTAGATTAAATGATATTTTTGGTGATGTGAAAATCATCATTCCTCTTTCGAAATTTGATTTTCACAATACAATATAAGTGGATATCATAAAATTGAAAAAAATATTGATGATTGAAAAAGATATTATGAAATCTTTATAGAATGACTATCGATTAGTTGAAAATTTTCACGCCAACCTTTAAACTGATAATTTGATTATTCAAATTCAAAAATCGCATGCAAATCTACAAAGGGTTATCTAAAACAACATTCGATTCAAGCATAAAAATTCATTTCGATCACATTCATCTTTCATTAATCAATCTGCAAGTTTTTAAATCCAAAAGATATATAGTGATTTCGATTAATATAATAATATAATTGAATTTTAATGCACTCAAATATGTAGAACATTTTAAATTATCATCGTCATTGAAATTGTATGGTTAAATGTGTGAATTTAATTTTGAATAATAATAATAATAATAATTCAATTGTTTATTCAACCAATTCATCCTCAATCAGATCGATATAGGAAAATAAATATTGTTCTCGTTACTCGTTATTTTTTTTGTCTTAAAATCGTAATATTTACACAATACATCTTGGGACAAAAAGTCACACACACACACACACACACAGACATATTGATTTGACTACTGAAAAATATGACGAGAGTAACAATCATAATTACAATAATAATAATAATCTTAATCAATAAATGCCGCTCCTGTCAAACAACGTGTATATACGATTGTTGTTTTTATGTAAATTTTAAACACACACAGCCGATAATTTTTAACCGCTTTGATATGGAAATCATATGTGTGTATGTATATACATTGACATGATCAAATGAAATAGTAGGAAAAAAAACTCATGTATATATCATTTATATAGCCGAATCGAAATGTGATATAGATTTTTGATCAAGATAATCGATCAAAAATGATTTTTTTTCCAGTTTTGTCACCACCGTACAACCAACGAAAAAACAGGATAATGAGAAAAAAAAAATCTGTGGCTGTATACGATTTTGCAATTCAGATAAAACCATATGTTTGGGTTGTTTTTTATTATTATTATTATTATTATCGTTTCTAATCCGGAAGTCTTGTCAGGTGGTTGTTTTTATGTTTATGCGGTTTTTTTTCTAATATTTTTATTTCTTACAAAACAGATTTTCATCATTCAAATTTCTGGATTTCTCATTTTACTCTAAATAAAGATAAAAGAAAATAATAAGCGAAAAAAAACGTCGATAATGATAAAGATAACGAATTTAATAAGAAAAACGACGACGATGACGACAAAAAAAAACCGAGAAGAGTTTGAGCTGTAAACATCCTTCAAATTATTAATTACAATAATACAAAGACGTGCATGTACTTTGAGGAGAAACTCGAATGTTAAATACAAATGTTTACCAATATATATGATCGGATAAAGTAACCATCATCAACAACAACAACAACAACATTTGACCAATAATCAAAAGATTTTTTTTTAGAAAAAAATAGAAAATGAAAACGAAAGAAATGGACAGCTAAAAATCTACCATCAACAGATATTTAAAAAAAAAACATATAAGGGCAACAGGTTTGGTTTCTGTCGTTGATCTCTATCGATGGATTTATTTTTTTTTTTTCTCTCTCTCTTTTTCTATAACATTTATTTTTACCCGAATAAAAATGAAACAGAAACGCTTGTTGTTGTTGTTGTTTATTTGGTGATGATGAGATTTATGTATAGCATTATGGTGTAGAACGATTTTACACTGATGTTCACGATCGGTGGTTTTTTTTTGGAAAATAGTTATTTTTCACTTACTAGATTATATTTTCTTTTCTGGCTTGGCTGGATATCCTTTTTGTTTCCATCATTTGGATCGATGAATAAATATTTTCGAATGGATGGTGGTGATGGTGATGATGATGATGATGATGATGATGATGATAATAATAATGATGGCATCGATGGTGATGATTATAATCCGGAAATATGAACATTTTCCCCTTATTTATCTAAAACAGTGTATTTGTCTTATGATTTTTTTCCCATTTAATTGTACAAGTAGGTTTGGCTTTGATTTCGTCGTTTTGGTTTTATTATTTTTTTTTTATTTTTTTTTTTTTGCTTTGATTTCATTGATTCCAACTCAAACAATCGGATATCTTAGCTTTAAAAAAGGATGATCAATTTTTTGTTCATTTAACTTTCACCAAAGTTAACTGAAGAAAAATAAGATCATTTTTTACTAGGAAAAATATTGGAAAATATGAAAAAAATTAATCCTCTAACAAAGTGATGATAGTTTTTGTGAATGGAAAAAAAACATCATTTTCTTTCGTTACAATTATCACATCGATTTTCCATTTCAAATTCGGGCGAATCTCTCTTCTTATTGTAGATTATATGAGTGGTAGAAAATCCGAGCAACAAATCGCCGGGATCAATGGACAAACGAGTGCATTTTTTTTTTTTTTTTGCCTCGTGACATAATAATATTGTAGCTGCTATATATATACTATAATATCGATAAATAGAAATAAAAAAAATCGATATTGATAGATAAGAAAACAAAAATCACGTGCATTTTATAACTAAAATTGAATGGGTTATTATTATTTATAAAATGATCATTGGTTATTTTTTAATTTGTAGTATAACTGCATGTATTATATCATAATCAAAATGCCAAGTATTTGTGTGCAAATGATGGAAATTTTATTTCTATCATATCTGTAGCCTAAAGGCAATAAATATATCATGGATCAATCTAGATAATGATTGATCATCATTAGCATCATTGATGGATTGAGATTCATCGTTTTTTTTCATCAAATCGGGATTTTTTTCTGATTTGTTTTCAATCTGGTTTTCAACTACCTGGCTATCCAATATTATTTTTTTTGCCTACTTTATCACTATTTTTTTTTTTGTTAAATCCGTATTGATTAAACAAATCAATAGCCATCTAATCGGTTTGTGATAATCCTTGCAGCAGCAGCAGCATCATTATTAATTCGATTTTTTTTCCTGAAAGAATGATAAAGAGAATGAAAAAAATAGAGGTTATATACAAACTCATACACACACACACACAAACACTCATTATTTTCTTATGATGAATACTCAATAATGTCTATGACAACCATAACTATATATTTGTTAATTTTTATTGTTGTTTATGTGTTGAATTGATTGTTGTTTATATGTGAATGTCTGGATATATACATTATATTAAACTAATAATAATAAATTCGGGACATGGTCGTCAATTGTAGTCAATGGTCGTCTGCGAGAAAAAAAAAATCGATATTTTTATTTTTGAAGGACTTTGTGGTAGATTGGGTAATCGTCAAATCATGACATGAACATGTGTATTGTTTGTTTAATTTTTTTTTTTTTGGCCTCTCGATCGAATCTATTCAGTCAGCCATTCATCCATCTGAATTTCCTATCTTCAAGCGTAGGCCGTAAGGAAGACTAGAAAAAAAATTGACGACTACAATCAATCAAATTGTTTTTTTTTTTTGATTTATTCTCTCTCTCTCACACACAAATTGAATCAATTGGAATAATCATTTTTTACTCGTCCTTTACAAAAAAAAAAATAAGTATTGCAGATGATTATAAACACAGTAGTAATAATGATGATGACGATGATGATGGTGATGGTTTTTCCGTAGTCTCACAATACGATGATGTTCATTGGAATGCATTGATCCTACTCAAAACATCAGTGATGAAAATGATTATCATTGTTATTTGCATGTATGTTGAACCGATTAAATACCGAAATGTAAAAAAAAAAAATTTTCATGATTTAATTTACTTTTAAGCTAAGCTTTAGGCCATTTGTCAATGATTTTTTTTTCTTGAATTTTGCATCTTCAATTGAATCAATTATCATATCTATAATGATGAATGTCCGCCTCTGGGTGAACTCTGTGGGCAATGCATCATTTCCTTTTTGTGTTCAGAAAAATATCGAACACGTGTCCGAAAAAAATGGTTGATAATTTGTTCAATAAATAATGATGATTGAATAAATTTCTCAATTTTCAATTATGAAATTGTCGTTTCTATTGTCATTTTCATTTTAAAAAAATGTCGTAAGTCGCATATTATATGAAATAGTAATGACAATATTCATCATTTCAGATTATTTTTTTCAGATTTAATCAAAATGATTATGAAGATGATCATTTCCAAAAAAACGACCAAAAAAAAAGAGAGAGAGAGAACGAGAGGAAAAAAATCAACAACCCGACATAACAAACCTGGTAAACTAGCCCATTTTTTTTGGCTTGATTATTCTATTCTTAGAAATAACGTAAAAAATATTTTTTTTTCACTCTTATTTTCTATCAATAACTTTCAATTTTTGAAACATCATCAATTTGGATTGTTGATCATGAGATGGTAAATTTAAATT